TTTGGGGTCCTTTTTCTCCCATAACGTTCATATTTTATAAGGAAAGCATGACATCACAATGGAAGATGACGTTGCAAAGCCTTGTTACGTGACATCATAAGTAAAATATTGACCAATGAAATCACGCCAGTGTGTTACCCATTAGTGGATAACCAAAAATGTTTACCAACTCCTAGTAGGTTTATCGTATCGGGAGTGAGCGAGGAAGGTTGTGGGAGAAAATAATGTTGTAACAGGCAAAGAAAAATGCAGCAGCCAGACAGTGTTCAAATCCTGAACTGGTCGTGCATTATTTCTCTCCTGTTACAGTGGTGCCTGCAACAAACCTGATCATGTTTTTGAGTGTGTTACCTAACAAAGGGAAGCACCAAATGGTTGTTGTGTTGTTATAATATGAAGACATTTTTACTTGCTTAATATTAAAATAAACTTAAAGAAAATGAAAATGACCTATAATTGACTAGCTTTGCACTTGCATGTACCTATGTGTAAATGGAGAGTAACTCTACATAAGACTTTTGTTTTATATTTTCAGTGCCTTCAGCTTTGTCTATAGAAGAAAAAAGATTGCTAGAGTCTTTGGACCGGCTTAATGAGAAGTTAAAAAGTGAGTTTTCTAATCTAAATTTTCATGAAATTTGAAAATAAAAAAGATGGAATCAGTCAAAATTGAATCTGAGAGTCATTTGCCTGGTAAAAACGTGTATACCAAAGTAAACATGACAAGCTAACTTGTAAGTCTTGTTTGCTACAAGCTTGAATATATTTTGTCTGGTTTGAAGGTAAACGTTATTATCAAGATGATATTGTAATTTGCATCAATTTAAAGTAAATGTATTAAACGAATTAATATTTTGATAAACTAATTGTGTTATTTTACATTTCAGTTTCGGAGTTCCCCGGTTCATTACCCCCTCAGCCTGCCATGTCACAGGCTCCTCCTCCTCCACCTCACCACTTTTCCTATGTAAGTAACTCTGTAGTGACATGCTGAACTCTATAAATAATTCTGCATTATATATACCATACTCACATTTACATTTATCAAGTGGTAGAATCAGATTCTAGTCTTGTGTGTTTGTGGTAATGACAAGTTACTCTGGTTGAAATAATGAGATTACAAAATTTAGTACAGGTATTTGTAAAAGGATTTTATTTTGATGATTCATATTTCAGATATAATGTTAGACACTGGAGAAGGGGGAAGAAAATCTTGTGTTATTACCCTGCTACCACCAATAAATATCTTCTAACTTTGGGTACCGACTGTAGCTCATATGTATTGGACTTTTTCAACTTCCAATTATTATACAAAATGACAATCATACCATTTATATTTATAATGTAAAACTTTCTTTGTTTATTAATTTTTACGGTTGCCATACTAGCAGTACATTGATTGTTCTTGTAATTACAAGTTTTGTTAATGACTAACCAACAAAAAAAATTGAAACATAATTGTTTCTGGTCGTACTGTAATGTAAAATCACCTCCAAAAAATTACCCAGTACTTCCAGTGATTTAATTACATAGTAAAATATGGGTCGAGTCTGTTTTTATTTATTGAAGTATTTGATGAATTTTGTAGGCTAATTTAAGGACTACGTTAAAAGGAGATTGAGGTAACGTCTCTTACTGGTATCGTGATATTGATGTTGTAATATTTACAGACTGATTGCATATGGTCACCTCGTGTAAGCATCTACATCGATTTCACCTGATTTCTCTCTCCTGATTCTATGTTCTAATACCTAAACTGGTGATGATATTAATTGTTCACTCATCTGTTTCCCTTCACTGAACCTTCCTCCATGTTGCATGCTGTCAGTTTACTTTTGAGGGTGGAGCCTAAAGTATCATCTTGCACTTGGATCCAAATTTAAAACCTCACATTACTTAACATATCGGTCACCATATAATGGAAATATCGTGCATTGGGATATTTGTGCTCTAGCCATGTTAGACACACTGGTGTTGTTTAACTTACCTTATCACGAATATTCAATCAGACCTCCGCCAACTCTGATAATGAATATTCAAATCAGACATCCACTTCCCTGATCATGAATATTCAAATTTCCCTTCACCTTGTAATCATGAATATTTAAATCAGACTTCCTCCATTTACTTAAAATCCTTAAAACATTGTTTTTAATTCAGCCAATTATGTCATGTAAATGATATTTTTTTATAATGATCCAAGTTGTGTATGATTAACAAATTAAGCCTTTTAATCAACCTTATCTCAGTTATAAAGTTGTGACGGCTGTTGCTATGGGCACCTTGGAGTAAAAGAAACTGGAGAGTCAGTCACTTAAAAGTTATTGGATTGTGATCATACCGCATACTTGCCAACTTTTGTTTAAACTTCCATGGGGGAGATTCTGCATGCTCAAATTTAAACCTAAATAAAATTTGTATTACACCCCATAGAGACAAAATAACCCTTCAAACTGACACATTTTGAGTTGTTGTTTCAGATGAAATCATTAGATCTTAGAATATGGGCACAGTTAAGCAAATTCATTCTTAGAAAACACTAAAATTAAGGGTCCAATATCGGGGGTCTCTCTCCTAAATAGAGATGGTTGGCAAGATCAATCAATAAAAAAAATCAAATCAATTAGTTAGATATATGTTTAATGTTTAAAAAAAGATAGATGTGTTGGTTTTTTGTAGGAGTATTGTACATATGTGTCTGAATGCTCACACACTCTGTTTTCATTCCTCTTGCATGGAATTAGTGTTTGGCCATGGGCACTTACAAAACATACTGCAACAATGACATAAATCAGAAAAAAACATGACATTGTAGCATATGATGATATTTTTAATTGTGAAATGATATATTTGAAATATAACTAAGACTCTGCCAACTTTTTTATTCATCAATTACAAAACTGTGAATCTTGACGTTAGATACATGTAAGAGTCCTTCTGTGTGCATTTACAAGTCCTTTGGAACCTGAATTTGTTGTTAAAGTATAAAAAAAATTGTCTGGAATACCTTATTTATATTTTTTGTTCTATCCATTTCTTGTTGCAGACAAATGGATTCAAAGGCTCCAAACCCATACTATCACAACAGAGAGGGAATACACGTGGCGGGTCAGCAGCCGTTCTGCGTCCAACAAATATACGTTTCTAATGTATTGAGCTGTAGCCATGCTATGCCTCACGGAATTTGTTTAGAAAGTATTAGTCATGCTATGCCAACCAAAACTAGGCTTCTAGTGGATGAAGTTATATATGCTGCTTGCTACTCTAAAAGGATGTATCTGTCTACAATGTATATACACCCAAATTATGTACCTCTGTGATGGTATGTCCGACAAATAGACACAGAAGGCGTGCTGTACCCAACAAATATGCACTTCTTAGTTAGAGGGTATGGTACAGCCTACTAACATACTCCTCTGTCAAATGTAGAAGCAGTTGAATGTATGTGGCCATGCTCTGCTCACAAATGTACGTTTCTGATGAAGAAGGTATGCGGGCATGCTACATTCAACAAATACATTCCTACGTAAAATACTAGAATGTGTAAGCCAAGTCAAGATATGCCTCCACTATCAAACTTCTTAAATGATGCTGTCCCGCTTTATATTGTGGACCCAGAGTGGAAGCATAATGGTATTGAGTGAATTAACCCTTTCACCCCTATGTAACTTTAGTAGACTCTACCA